TGAGACACCCGGATGTGTCTGCTCGGGAAACTCCGAATTATTGTCTCCCACCCGCTCGCGGCTGCCGCCTTTTTTTTTTTTTTTTGCCCTTTATTTTTTTTTTTAATGTATTTCATTTTTTCCCCTCCCCGCACCCCTTTATTTCGTTACACAATGAAATTAAGTTTTGCGGGTTTATATCTTTTCCTTCCCCTGTCCCCGCGGCTTTATTTGAGTGGATTTTGCACTCACTGAACGCTTTTAATCTGCTCTTCCCCCGCATTTACGTTGGGGGGTTTTTTTGGAGCTCCTCACCCTTGCAGGGGAAGAGATTTTTTTGGGTAACCCACCTCCTTGCTAATGTGTTTCGCTTGGACAGTGGAACTCCTAAACTCCCTGCTGGCACATCCTCAGAGTTCCTGAGCTTTGGGATATCTTTGGGAATCACGCTGGTCCCTTACTCCCTGGAAATCACACTGTGCCGGTACCCACAAGGGATCAGGTGGCTTTGTAGGAGTGAGAATCCATGCAAGGAGGCTTTTGGAAGCTGGCACACGAGTAGAAATGGGATTGCTTGGTAACTGCACACTTAAATTTCCTTCTCCCAAGGCAAAATGCCCTCGGCGGTGCTGCTTATGGGCTCTGTGTAAATTGTGTTCACTTTCAGCTCTTCCTAAGTGCTGTTGTTTGTTCATTATTTATTCAAATGGAAGCTACAAATCTTCATCTTGCACGTAGAGGACAAAAATAATTAAAAAAAGAGATGTCAGGTAAAAAAACTACCAAAATAAAACGGTGTTTTTTTAGGAAATGTACCCAGCTACTGCTGTTACAAGTGACTAAGGAATAGAGAGATGCTGATGTACTATAGGGGCGTCTATTTTTAACCTTCCTTGCTTTGTGTGGCCGTTAATTTTTGTGGTTTCCTCTACCTGCAGCCACTTTGGCCTTAAAAATAAGACAATTTTTCAGGCAGCAAAGGGAAGGACAGGAAGAACATCCCCAGCCACAAAAAAAATCAGGGTTTGATGGCAGTTGTAACACCAGCATCAAATCTTTTAAACTGTGAATTGGCTGTGTTGTCTCACCCCCCTCTTCTCTGTCTGTTTGCCCTCCTGCAAAATAGAAGGGATTTCTCATTTTTAAGCCATTTTACTTGCTCTGTGAACCATTAATTAGGGGGATTTTCAGTATTAGGGGTTTGCAGCGAAGAGTCAACTTGGAAATTCATGCACCCAATGAAACTAAAAACTCACATGAATCACTAGTAGAGGGGAAAAGTCACTGTGTGCTTACTATTCTATGAGTGCTGTAAAACTGCTGTTAAATGCACTGTAGTTTTTTTGGGAAGCAAAAAACCTTGTGCAGCTTAAAGCTGCCTGAGTGACAGTGAGCTGCACACTCTTCCTTTTCTCAGCTAAGGAAAACCAGAGGGATGGCTTCATTTTATGGAACTTAGTGGAATATGTAATCTTAGGGTGGGATATCTATTTTCTTTGCTGGGTTTCACTGTGTTTGCACCTCTCTCTTTTCAGTTGAAAGTGGAAAATATGCCAATAAAGACATTATTTATGCTTATTTTCATGTGACTGTGGTTCCTGTCGTTAACTGTGGTATAAGGTGATACAAGGAACGTTTACAGGCTTTTTTTCTGCTTTTCCAGGATAAACCTGGTATTAAACAAAGGATGTTTTTACCATTTTCTCAACGCTGGCGTTGCCTGACGTCAGCACCTTGTTAATGATGTTTCCTGACTTTGCTCAACCAGTGCTTTTATTATGCATTTTGTTGGTAAACACATGGAAACCAACCTATTGTGGGGGATTAAATCAGCTTCCTTTTATATCAGCTCGCTTATAACACAACAGGGGCACATCCTAATTGTATCAAAGTAGGGGTTTGTGGGGTTTGCAATGTTCAAAATCAATGATTTCGATGAAACCGTCACCTCCTACCCCGGTGTAATTAGTTGATCCTTATAAAAGCCAGACCTTTTGATGTCTAATTCCAATCTTGGGGCAGTTTTGTGGAGCTCTGACACGTTTTCCATGCCTTGCAGTGACGCTGTGCCTGTTGGATGATGGTGGTGCCCGGGAATGCCCCGGTGATCCAGCAGGACCACGCTCTGGAGCCCGACCTCGGGAGAGACCCCCCGGAGCACCCTGCCATGGGTCCCGGCACGGAGCCCGCGCCCGAGGAGGTGGGCCCGGAGCTGGCAGAGGTGAGGAAGCTTCGGGAGCTGATGAGGAGGCTGGAGCTGGAGAACCAGCACCCCAGAAGCAAGAGCAGCAGGAACGTGCTCGGGACGACCGTGCCGGGGGAGATCCGCCCCGGCGTGGACAACCCCGGCCTCAACGGGACGGAGCTCAACAACAGCATCAACGCCATCAGCGAGCAGCAGGAACTGCAGATTATGGCGGATCTGCACAGCCAGTTGAGCAAAATAAGGCAGGAGGAAGGAGAGAACAACTGCTTCAAAAGAGCCGTGGATGCCCAGAGGGAATGCAGCTGCAACGGTGCCCCCCAGGAGGAGGTGCCTCCCAAGGATGGCACGGGCAGGTGTTCCCCGTGTGTGGATACAAGGAATGGCTCAGAGCTGCTGGGGGTCCATCCCTCAGCCAGAATCCACGAGCAGGATCCCAGGGAAAAGTGTGCAGACCTAGAAAGCCTTTCAAACAACGCGGATCTGGATGAAGTGAAAGTGTTAGAACTTGAGAACTGCACCGAGGAGGAGGATTGCTGGTACGTGTCTCCAGGCCTGGGGGGGGAGAGGGAACTTAGTGGGAGTTCCTGTGTTTGGGTGTGCAGTTACTTTTAAGGCTGTGAAGTGCTTTCTATTCATTTTTAGCAGTTCTCATTAGTGGCTCTCCTTATTTTTATATCCAGCATATGGGAACATTATTTTTAAAAGAATCAGTTTAACTGTAGGGCTTGTCTTTCCCCCTTTCTTCTTTCTGAAGCTTCCTTTCCCTCTAATTTTAATTATATATAGCTCATGCAGATGAATGAGCAACGAAGCTTTTAAACCTTGTAAATCAAATGCTGCCTTTCAATCAGAATTTTGTAAATAAGAATCCCTGGACCATGTGGGATTTGTGGCTTTTGCTGGTACCTGAGAAGACAAACCATTTCTCCAGGCTTTAGTGGGGGAGGGAACTTCCACTGCTGTGGGTTTGGGTGTGCAGTTACTTTTAAGGGTGTGAAGTGATTTCTGTACAGGCCTTTTATTTTCAGCAGTAATAATTCAGTTCTTATTCGTGGCTCTTCTTATTGTTATATCCAGTTTACCAGAACCTCATTTTTAAAAAATCAATTTAACTGTAGGGCTTGTCTTTCCCCCTTTCTTCCTGACACAGAAGCCTCCTTTCCCTCTTAAGTTTAATTTTACAGAGCTCATACAGATGAATGAGTAACGAAGCTTTTAAACCTTGTACATCAAATGCTGCCTTTCAATAGGAATTTTGTAAATAAGAATCCCTGGACCATGTGGGATTTGTGGTACCTGAGAAGACAAACCCTTTCCCTTTCCTGAAGGCTGTTTCTTTGCAGTGAACCATCTCTTTTGTTCAGAGACATGAACTGAAGCAGATCAATGATGTAATCCTGAACTGACCCGGCTCTGTGGGACTCTCCCCTCCACCAGCAGCCTTGGTTAGAACTTGTCTTATAAATCAGCAAGGGCAAGGGAAATTTAAAGTTTCAGTCTAATCCCAGCTCGTGCAATAGCTGTGACTTGGGATTTTGCCTTCCTATCCTCATTTTTTTTCTTAATTTTCTTAATTTTTAAGACTTTGAAGCCTCAGGGCTCTGCAAATTGGGTTCACATTTGTGTAGCCAGATGAATCTGGCAGCGAGGGCAGCCCTGCTGAATACAACCCAAACCTTCATTAGCTGTTAAATTGAAGATAAAGTTTGTGTTAATGGAGTGGGGCTCAATGAGGTAATGCCATCAACTCAAGCCTAAATTCAAGGTTCTGTTTAGAACAGGGTTCTTTTTTTCCTATGCAAGCTTATTTTTAAAACCCAAGTACTGGTTCTAACTTGATCCCTGAAATTCTTCAGTGTTTCTAAACAGCATTTTGAGCAGACTCCTTATAAATAAATAAGGGGAATATATTTAACAAGTTGAATTTGGAAGGCAGGCTTTATTATTTCCACATTAATGAGAGCAGCCAGTTTTATATTCATGTTTATATAGGACATGAGAGATTCTTCAAACTGAGTCTGGGATTTGCCCGGGCAGGGAATTGTTTGCAGGGCCATCAGGAGAGATCCTGTGCCCAGGAGCTCAGTTCTTTAACCTAAACTAATAAATCCTTCTTTCCCAGGTACCTTTCCCTCTAGACCTTGCAGGATCTTTCTGGGTTTGTTTCCTGTGTTTTCTTGGAATAGGGTAACATGTGGAAAAGAGGTGCCTTGAGGAGCTGGATAATGTGATGATACAAAGCACTTGTGCAAGTGCTGTTACCATAAATTACCTTTGATTATTCTGCATCTCTTCCATCTGTTCCCTTTTCCTCTTGTCAAACAAAACGTGGTGGAACAAGAAGCTCTTTTTAATGATGGCTTCTTGTTCTAGAGCTTGTTCTGAAAGTGGGGAAGGAATAATCAGTATTGTGTGCCTGTGCCCATTGCCAAATACCCCAAATTCTCACCATGACCATGTCTCCCATCCAGGAATTGATGCATTCCCTGAGCAAGAACCAAAAAACTGGGTGGAGGAGAGAGAGGGGTTTTTTTTCCAACAAAAAGGAAAACAAACAAACAAACAAAAAACCAACAAAACCCCCTTAATCTGTGGATTTAGGATCAGCTGTAATAAGGTGGCTTTGCTGATTGGGGGAATTTTGTCCTGCCTGGATGGAAGTTGAGCAGTCAAAGGGAATAGCTGACTTTGTTGTTGTGTTTTTAATATTATACATGAGGAAAAAAACTGTAGCTAATATTGATACATATCATGTGCACTCAGATACTTTCTGATGTTTGAAAATGACTTTGTTTTTTTCCTGTCACTGAATTGATAAATTGTAACAAGCCCAGTCCTTTTTGCTGGTGAGTTCTTTGATTTTTAGAGGTGATGTTTTACACCTGAAAGAACACTAAGAATTCATTTTGCATTCTTGTAAAGTCTGGAAGTGTTTCAAACAGGGGTCGAGGAGTGGGAAACTTTCAAAAAGAGACATTTTACATCTCACATCTTCCTCATTCTAGTTTTAAAAACAGGTGCCAACTTTAAGGTTGTTACTTTAAGGAATTTAAAAATCACTGGAAGGTAATTTTTATTGTGATATTGTGCTGTGACTTCTTAGCAGGTTGGAAACCTCTAGTGTGGATTTTTGCCACTTGATCTGGATTGGGAAGAGCAAAACCCCTTTCCCTGGGAGATGGATGGAGTGCTCAGAGGGCTTCTCTGGGGGTGCAGGTGGAGTCTCACTTCCTACCCTGTTTTGGGATTATTTGGTGTATTTGGCTGGAACTTGCAGCTGTTTCTGTGCAGCTCCAGCAAATGTAAGGCTTTGTTTTTAACAGATCCTGGCAGTGCCTGAGCTGGTGTGAAACCCGAGGCAGTGCCCCCCACCCACAGCTGTAACTCTGCCCTCACTTGCTTCCTCAGGGCCCTTTCTCAAATAGCTGCTCAAAATTGTAAATATCCTGGAGACCCAATGGGATGGAACTGGGCTTTCCATGCTTGGGAGTTGGGTGTGATGCTCCCCTCAGGCTCCTGAGCTGTTTTGGGAGGGCTGTTACCCAAACAGGAGGGGACAAACCAGATATGCTCCTGTTTGTCTTCCTCAGTATTTGCCATTCTCGGGTGCTCCCTGCGGTAGGATTAAAGTTGTGATTTTCTGTGTGTTTAGCTTGTTGTTTTTCATGCCCTCATTGGTGCTCAGCTGTTTGTTGTGCATTCCCCTGTTTTGTGGGGGTTTAGTTGTTTGGTGTTTTGTTCAGAGAATCACAGAATCTCCTGAGTTTGCAGGGACCCACCAGGATCATCGAGTCCAACCCCTGGCCCTGCACAGGACATCCCAACAATCCCCCCCTGTCCCTCAGAGGATCATCCAAACCCTCCTGGAGCTCTGGCAGCCTTGGGGCTGTGCCCACTGCCCTGGGGAGCCTGGGCAGTGCCAACCACCCTCTGGGGGAAGAACCTTTCCCTGAGATCCAACCTGACCCTGCCCTGGCACAGCTCCAACCATTCCCTGGGTCCTGTCCCTGGTCCCAGAGCAGAGGTTGGAGCTGCCCCTCCCCTGCCCCCAAGAGCTCTGCCCTCAGTCTCTTCTCCAGCTGAACAGACCAAGGGATGTTCCTTTTCCTGGTGAGACTTGGGAGAGAGAATTTCGACTTGGAGTTAAGATGAAATGATTCAAATTCCATCCCCCTCTGGACTATAAAATGTGCTTATTAACGAGAGAGAGATCAAGAAATAGCAAAAGTGAAAACCTTAAATTTTTTCAATGCTCTTCACCCTTTTTACTGGATTTTTGCCTCCGTCCCCTCTGATGGGATGAGAACCAGACTCTGTCTGTGCCTCACCTTGAACAGCTCCAGGTTTTCTCCTTGTTGGAAGGAACCAGGCCCGTGTTTGTGTCTGCCCTTTGTCCTGCTGTTGCTTAACAACTTGATCCCAGTGGTGAAGCTGCCTGTGGTTTAACGTGGGCCTTCAGATAAGCTCTTATGTATGTTCTGCTTCTTTAAAAAAACCACCACAAAACACACCCCAACAGTCACACAAACCCATCTCACAGAACCCCTTTACATTTCTTTTAAATTCCAGAGCTCCTTTTAGAGGGATATGTGAAATCTTCAGGGTGTGTGTGTGTGAATGCACAAGTCTGCTCAGCCTCATGTGGAGCCTGTTTTTTGTGGGGTGAGGAGGAGAAGGAGTCTCTGTCCCTCAGGTGAACCCCCTGTGTTGCTGCTAGAGCCATGCCTTGCACAGTTTGCATTCCCAAAAACCTTTCACTAACAAGTTGTGCTGCCTTTAGCTCAGTGTTTTGTTGTCTCCTGCTTGAATCCGTGTTCAGGTGGGGTGCCCTTGAGTTGGTGTTTGCAGGGAGGAGGAGCATGGTTTGCTCCAAGAATTACTCCTTAGGATTTTCCTGGGAGTTCCCTGGTGTTCCCTGGATTTTCCTGGTGTTTTCAGCCTTACTCTGTGTCCAGTGACCTTCTATATTCATGTTTTAAGGTTTTTAATTCAGTACTGGAGATATCATTGCTGTTAGCTGATAGGGAAAGAAATTCTGGAAAAGCTCCACCAAATGAGGATGTGGTTCTGCACAAAATCCAGAAATTATACCAACACATCACCTTGTGCCTCTAATTTGGGGAAGAACTTGAACTCCCTGATTTGTACCTTCCCCATGTCCTGTTTCCCTGCGATCTCTCCTTGTGACAGGACTCTGCTGGCAAGTTGGATAAGGCTTAAAAGCAGCAGTTTGCAAGGTCTTATTTTCTCAGCCTGGTCATTTTATTCCAACCTTCTCCAGGTGTTTTTAGCATTAAATAATGTCCAGGTGCTTTATCCCAATGTTTTCCTGGCTCTGGTGTGAGGAGCATGTGAGGTGACCCATGGAATGTGTGACACCTGCCTCGCTGGGACACCCTCTGAGCTCCTTCCAAACCCTCTGGGCAGCTTTGTGGGAGCATTCCCAGACCCACCTTCCTTGCAGAGTCACCTGGAAAGGAAAACCTCCCTGCTCCTGTGGCATTGAGGGCAAAGCACAACCTGAATTCCTGGTGAATTCCTTCCGCTGGCAGAGGCTGAGTGACTGAGGCCTCA